AAAACGCTTTCCCGCCAAAAAAACTTTCACGTGCCCCTACGTGAGAACTACGCGGACCTGAGCGTTCATTTTGAGGATACGAGCCCGCACGTATGTCTAGATTAAGTCACCAAATCCACAGTCTTGCAGCTTTTGTGGATCTCGAGATGAAAACTCGTTACAGGCGCACACACAGACACACATACACACAAATACACACACAGACACACACACACATACACACACACACAGACAACCCCTCGACAATACTTGTTTTTGCATTGCATAGCTGCAAAAAATGCATAAAAAGAGCACCACACATTGCCACATTAATAAATAGCTTTTTGTAAAGTTTAAAATCACGATTTCAGAATAACAAAGGAGCTGTTATGGTTATTAACAAGCACTTGCGAGCTGGCTTTCTGCTTCTCAGTCCAGCAAATGCAGAACAGAGAGGTATATAAATAATTTAAAATGATTCAAACTGTTTTAAAGGAAAGTAAGTACAATAAAGTTGGTAAGTGAGAAATAATAATTATGATTCATGCATACAGAGAAAATCGGCTGAGGAGAAATCGAAAATAATAATTAAAATAAAATGACTGAACAAGAATGTTTCAGTCCATTAAGTATCACAACTGGACTTCGTCATTGCAATGGTTTTGATATTAAAAAGTAAAATGAATAAATAGCAACGCGCACCAGACTAGCCGATGCGATCATGCGTTTTGTGTAATTCCGCCTACCGAACGATTGCCTATTAATGATTATCACTGTTTTCTAATTTGAAACCTTGAAGGGTGAATACCCTTCCGTGATTCCCGAGGTAATAGTTTACCCGCCAAAACTTCCATGAGGCCGTAAGTGATACCCGACAGCGCGGGAACGCTGGATTTGAATTTGTAAGGCCGTACGTGGGTAGGGGGTCATCACCCTGAAATTTCAACTTCGTAGACTTTGTGGTTCCCGAGATAATAATTTATTCGTCAAAAATTTCCACGGGGCTGTACATGTTACCCGCGGGCAGGGGGAAGCTGAATTTAAATTTGCGGAGTCGCACGTGGGTGGGGAATGTTCCCATAAATTTCCAGCTTCCTAGTTTTTGCGATTCCTGAGTTGAAAGTTGCGGACAAGTTGCTGCGGACACACACACATACATACACACAGATAACCCCGTGACAATATGCGTTTTGTACTGCTTTTACACAGCACAAAATGCATAAAAAAAGAGATAGGAAGGAGGTTTTTCAATTAACGGATTACTTTTAAAGGCTTTTCAGTCAATAAATTACTTCCAAATATCGAAGGCTTATTTGACATCATTACTGTTGATTTATACATCTTCCAAGAGCACTGTACTGGTGTAGGTGCATAGTGAGCAACTGCTCTTTTTATCAGCCTAATGGGTATTAACAGTTGTAGCAGTCCTTCATTCTCTACTAGCCAACCGGATTAACAGGTTAAAAGCATCCACAATTGGTAGGGAACCGAGAGTTTTATAATTAGTTTCCATAAGCATTTCACTATTCAAAAGTATCATGAAGCTACCAAAGATGATAACACTGTATGATGTCTTTCGGCCGTAATCTATAAGGATCTAAAATTTGCTATGATTCGAAAGTAGGCAGGCTATTATGAGATGTCCATTTGCGAAAATGGGTAATTCTACTGCACAGATGTCCAGTTGCGAAAATGGGTAATTCTACTATATGAGGTAGAAACAGAAATTTTGAGGTAAAAACAGTTTAAACTGATAAGTTTAAAAACAATCCGCTCACAATGCACAATAAATGATCCGAAAAACGATGGCAATACAAGCGTCATTCATGAGAGAAGCTGCACGCCAGCACTTCAGGGAAGTACCCACAGTAATAAATGCGAGTCAGCACGCTGGACAGGAAATGAGAGATGTCCAGATGCGTAATTAACAGGAAGCCAATCCTCCACTCTTTCCCACGTGCAATCCTACGCTCATTTGAGTCCGAATTGGCGCGGATATTTTTTGTAATTCGATTTATTAAAACTGAAATTTTGTGTGTTCATTGATCGATGTGAGCAAAATTAAGGACCCGAAGCATTTCAAGAATCGTACACCGCAATGAGCACCGAATCCTGCTACACCTCCAAAGATGTGCTTACAGACGAAAGACAAATCACCACATACGATCCAACTGAAGTCTACGATCCTGAACAAATGAAGAATAAGACGAAGTAAGATTTCGGGCTTGCGGCCGCACTAATTAACAGCACTTTTGCCTGGCACGAACTGATACATACCAG